TTCGTCTGCTGTGTGACAGAGTTAAAGTCGTAGTGATTACATCATTTTCAAATAAACCACAAAATGTGAGTTAGAAACCATCAGTGGTCCAGTCCACTTAACAAGCAAGTGTTAGCAGACAAGCCCATCGTGCATTGTCAGGAAGTCCAGCATGCATTGGCAGGAATATGTGCGTGTAATGACTTGTTTACAATATGACATTGTATGGTTACATGGCGCAATATTGTGTCATCAAAGTTTCAATGCAGGAAAAAATCCACAAATTTACAACAAATTATTAAATTTAAGATGCATCATTTTTTAAAATATATTTTATAATTTTTTGAAATGATGCAAATTAAAAAAAACATTAAAGGGTTAAAGAAAGTAGATTTCCAGGGGGACACTGAATAATTTATTTTTTGAAAAGGGGACAGTAGGCCAAATAAGTCTGGGAACCTCTGTACCAAAAGAAGGATTCTAAGGTACCTCCAACACCTTTGAAGAGCTGGTGGCCTGAGCAGCTCAAAAAAGGTCTAAAGTTAGAACCTCTTCTTTGATTTTTCCCCCAGCTCTTTATACCTGGTCTACACAGAGGCGATACTCTATAAAGGCAATGTCCTGAATATGATTCAATGAGGTAGACTGAGTCTTCCCTGATCAGAGTGAATATAGAAAACCCTTTCTATCTATCAGGTGATAACTACAGAGCCTGATCATGAACCAGTTCTCTCCATCCTTCAGGCAACATTTGAGAAAGGTAACAGAGAGACACTGTAGCCAAGTAAATAAGCACTGGGCCTGGAATCAGAATTTGGCTTCAAGTCAATAAACAGGCAGACAAATACTGGCCATGATCAAGTCACTTAACTTCTCAGTGCCCCCAGGCAACTTTCTGAGACTTAAAGTTAAAGACACTTGCTGATAGACATCCCTAGAGGGAAATTGCCCATCAAAAATAAATGAATGAACGAGTGAATAAATAATCTGTTCTCTATTATGAGAGGGACTCAGAAGAGGGACAATTAGAAGAAATATACTATACATAAATCTCTCCTCTAGGTATCGGGAAAGATTAGTGTAAGAATATATATTAGCAGCAGCTGCAGCCGGTGGTGTTTTAAAGAAAAATATCCCTTTAGCCAATTTCAGTAATTCAGGTATTCATCACTGTCACAGTCAATCTTCCTCTAAGGATTGCACTAACAGGGATTCTTAGTGTGTATGTATGTGTGTGTGTGTGTGTGTGTGTGTGTGTGTGTGTGTGTCTGTGATGGACCCCTTTGGCAGTTTGGTGGAACCTATTGACCTCAGGATTATTCTCAGAATAATTTTTTAAATGGATGAAAATACACATGATTATTCTCTCTCTATATGGTATGTGTGTATGTATATACGTGTATATACATACATACACACAGATACACACAAATAGATAGGACATCCCACCCCCCAAATCCCTGTGCTAGTGAGCAGTGGAGGAGCTAGGGCAGGGAAGAGATGGTCAGCTCAGTGCCAGCTGGAGTCTAGTCTTCATGAGTCTCTATGTTATAATGGAAAAAGTATTATTTGGAAAGTCAAGAAGCCTAGGTTCAAGGCAGACCTTGGTCACTAAACTAGGGAGCAAGTCACTTCACCATTTTGCTTCCCCATTTCCCCATTTGTAAAAGAGGGATAGCAATGTCTGCCTTAGCTCCTTCACAGGGCTGTCATGAGGTTCTGCAAACATATGTACAGATAAGCTTTTCAAAGTATGAGGTAGTAAATAAAACAAGATATTATTTTGAAAAATACTCATTGCCATTTCTTCAGCTAATCCCAATATTCTCAGTATGACAGCTTTTGTGCATCGCTAGCATCCCCTCCATATCGAGCACATTTAGTGGACTCCTTACAGCATACTTAGAGGAAGAGGTATCCAAGAGTCCCATAGAATGCACTGGCCTGGAAGGGTCACAATCTGCGACATGGAGATGAACAATAGAATGTGAGCTACAGGAGAATAGAGATAGTTTTGGTTTTTGTCCTTGTAACTCCAAATACCGAGCACTGGGCCTGGCGCATAGTAGACACCAAGCAAAAGCCTGCTGATTAATGGATAGATCATAGATCCTAGCTGAGCATGTGAGTATCTTTATTGACTATACAACACTGGAGAACACAATGGCTACTATGGTCCCCAAGCAGGGACCAAAGCAAAGCCATCCAAAAGCTTTGTCCTTCCCATTGCTCTTCCCACCCCAACTCCCAGCTCTCTTTGCAGCTAGAATAGGATCTCCCAGGTGTATTGTTAAGGAGTACAGCCTTGGCCACAGAAATCTTGGATTTCCAGGGACCCAGCGGTGCCTAGGCCAGCTAGTCCTACAGACAGTCTTCTTCCATGTTGACATGATTTCCTTTTTTAAAGCCACAACTTCTGTGTCTGGGGAGGTGGCAGGGAGGAGGACCCTCATCCAGTCTCTCCACCAACTGCTGTGCCAATAATCCCCAAGCAGCCAGGAAGACCTCAGAGATAAAAGCAGAATACTCTCTCCAACTGAAAGTTGCGGTTATTATGGAAAAGATGGAGATACTGGCTAGCTAAGATGACAGTTAGTTGGATACTGAGCTGGCTCAGTAGCTGGACCCAAAGAATATCCATGAATCAACTTGAAGGAGGTGTCTGGTGCAGTACCCAAGATATCCAAATGGGCTCTATGCTATTTAACAATTTTTTAACTACCTAGATAAAACCACAGATGATATGCTTATCAAATTTGCAGGTGCCGCATTGATACAAATTTGCACCAAGCTGGGAGGAAGTGCTATCACACCAGAAGATAGGATTCCAGAAAAGAAAAAAAAAAGCCTAGAATGTTGAGTTAAATCTCAGAAGAGGAAATGTAATAGGGGCAGATGTAAATGTGTACACTTGGGTTCAAAAAGTCAATTAACAATTATAAGATAAGGGAGGCATGGCTAGATAGAGGTTCATTTGAAAAAAAACTGGGAATTTTAGTTGACTATAAGTTTAATATGAGTCAGCAGTGCAATATGGCATCCAAAAAATGTGAGTGAGAGACATAGTTTCTAGGACCTGAGAGGTGACGGTCCTACTGTATTCTACTTCTGGAATATGGTGTTCAGTTAAGAACACCGCATTTTAGGAAGGATATTGTGAAGATGAAGAGTCCAAAGGAGGACAACGAGGATGGAAGAGGGTCTTGAGAACATGTCATGTGAGTATGGCTGAAGGAACTGGGGGTGTTTATCCTGGAGAAGAGGGGGCTTTGCAGGGAACTGATAGCAATCTCCAAGCATTGAAGCTAAAGGGCTAGCATGTGGAAAAGGGATTGGACTTTTTTTCCACTTGGTCTCAGAGGAGAAAACTAGGAGCAATGAGTAAGCTGCAGGAAGGCAGATTTAGACTTGGTGGGAACACTTCCTGAGACAGGATAATTCAGGGGTAATTCTCAGAGGGAAGGCATTAAAATTAAGAAGGATTGGGAAAGGTTAGGAGGTGGGACTTTAACTGGGACTTGAAGAAAGCCAGGAAAGCTGAGAGGCAAGAGACATAGAAATGGGGGGTTACAGTTATGGGGGACAGTCAGCGAAAATTCTCAGACTGGGGAGATGGAGGCAGTGTTCGAGGAAGACCAGTGTCACTGGGTCACAGAATATGCGGAGAAGGGCAAAGTATGTGACTGGAAAGGTAGGAAAGCGGCAACCACACTAATAACCTGCAATCACATACAGACTTAGGTTAGCCTTAGAGGAGAACTTCCTGATAGTAAGAGCTGGCTTTAGGAAATTAGGCCAGAGGCCAAACGAGGAAGTTCTCTTATTCCTGGAGAACATGCCATGTGCCTGACAGCACTGTTCTAAACAGGGGGGGGGGGGGGGGGGGGGGGACAAGGCTTCATCGGATCCATTGGCTGCCTTGCAAACGTTGATCTTACAATTTACGCCATCCAGGCAGAGCCTCTTGGGGCCTGTACATCGTCGCGGCTGACGCAGCCACCTTATGCTCTTGAGGGGGCCCCAACCCCTTTCTATCCCTGACAGCCGCAAGGCCACTGGCCGGCTGGCCTGCACAGAGTGGAATGCGGTCTCTCGGCTCTCAATCTTGCTCTGCTTACGTTTTGTTTCTAGGTTTTGTTGTAGCAACCGCCCGGGGCTAGCCAGGTATCCTTCCCGGACAGAGAGGCCCAGGGACCACACTCTGACGTCTGGCCCGGAGGGCCAACGCACTGCACATTATATCACCTTCCCAGCCTCCTCTAAGATCCAGAAGGAGGGAGGCATGAGGAACCCGAGCCCCAACTCTCTCACGGCCTGCCTGCTCAGACTTTGGCCCACCGTGCTGGCCCAACACCCCCGGGGCTGGAACTGAGCCTCCTTTTCTCTCTACAGAGAGTGGGAGGGAAGAAGGAACAGCAGGTACTTGAGTCACAGGCCAGAGCCAGAGGGGAGAGAATTCACAGGCTGTCTCGTCCAACCTCTTCTGGAGACTGAAGCCCAGGGAGTTTAAGTGATTGGCCCGAGGTCACCTAGGGTAGCAAGCAGCAAAGCTGAATCTTAAAGCTAAGTCTTCTGACTCTACACCAACTACTAGTCTTTCTGCTACCCCACACTGCCAGTCCTGGGCTAAAACCCTCTCCCAGTCCAGGGCCTGGACTCCTAAGGATCATCCCAGCTGGCTTGAGAAGGTGTCTCTTTCCTATTTCCAAATGCTAAACATATTTTCTACTACTTTGCCCATCCCACTTATATCAAGGCAAATTCCTTTCGCCCATCTGCTCACCCAGGCTAAAGTTATCTCATTCCCGAGCTTCCTCTAGAATTTTAGTTCTGAAAGATAAGAGCATTGCAATCAGGTGTTAGGATTACAGAATGTGTCTAACAGGTCTGTGGGGTGCTGCATTTCCCTCCTATGTTGAGGGACCCAGATTGGGCCTCAAGAGACCATAAGCCACTCAAATCTCTGAAGATCCTATGGGGAAGGCCTCCCCCCCCCAACCCCCACTGACCACCAGACTAACCTGTTAGCCTCCGCTCCCTTGCCCTCTTCCAGAACACCTCCCAGGCTCTGCTGGTGGAATCCTTGACATGCTCACTGAAGGCTCTCCGGAGCTGAGAGGATCCCCGCACACCCACCCCAGCTCCTCTAGCCCAGCGGAACTCCATCCAGGGAAGGGGTGGGGGGTAAGGATAGAAGGAAGCCCTGATTCTCTCAGAGAAACTCCCCCTGTCCCAGTCCTGCACTCCTGGCTCCCTCCTTTCCAGCTGGATAGTGTGCGAGGCTCTGGAGGAGATGTCTGCATACGATTAGTTAACACCCCTTTTGGGGAGAGAGAATGAGGGAGTGAGAGAGCAACTCCTTCCAAACTGCTGAGGTCAGGCTGAGCTGAGAAGGAAGTGGCTGCCCACTTGGGTCTCAAAGCCCCAGAGTACACACTGCACACTGTATCAACAAGCCAGTCCTTCACGGCCCTATGCAGAACAGATGAGTGGGGATCCCCAGGACAGCATTTCTTGGGGGAAAGGGGTGACTGCTCTGTGAAAGCACTCCTCTGCAACACCCCCCCCATCCTCTCTAAGGCCCTCCCTTTACTTAATCAGCTCCTCAGCTCTTTCCCTACTCATATCTCATCTGTTCACTTTTCCATTGCTCATGGCTACTTCTGTAATTTGATTTAGTTGCAGGATTTGTGGGAGTCAGGAACAAAAAGCATTCTTCACTTCTATTTCTTCTGATTTTAAGGGGTCCCCTCCTTCCATATTATTCCTCTAAGACCCCAGCTATATTCATCAATCATTTCAATTCACGCTTGTTGAACTGAATTCTCCATTTCTACTGCCACCACTCTTGACTGGGTCCTCATTGCCAGGATTACAGCAACATTGGCCTAGTCGCCCCCCTTTGTCTGTCTCCCTCCTCCAAGCCAGTTCTACACATGGCTGCTACACATGGTAATATTCGCAGTTTAAAGTGACATAGTGCTTTACAAATGGAGAACATTCTCACATTCAGGCCCTTCTTGAATACTTCGGCAACATGGGGCTAATGATCTCCCAAGGCAGCTTATTTCATTGTTGGAAAGCTCATAAGTTAGAAAGGTCCTATACTGATCATGACTTCTATACTCTGGCCCTCGTTCTCTCTGGAGTGATACAGAACACATCCAAGCTCTCTTTCACATGAAAGAATTTCAAACATTTGGGTCTGCTCTCATGTATCCCCTAATTTTTTTCTTTTCTAGGGCAGAACTTCTTCTCTTCCTTGAACCATTCCAAATATGACATGGTTTCCATACCCTTCATTATCCTGGTCCCCACTTCTGGATGTAATGGGAGACAGGGTGGTACAATGGAAAACACACTGGCTCTGGATTGAGAAGTCCCGAGTTCAAGTCCTACCCTTGGTATTTGTTGCCTGAATGGCTTTAGACAAGTCACTTAACCTCCCTGGGCCTCAGTTTCCTCATCTGTAAAATGAGAGTGTTAAATTTAGGTAGCCTGCAAGATAAAACCCTTATAGCTCTCAACCTGTCCTGTTCCAAATGATCAATGTCCTTTTTGAAAACAAAGTGTCTAGATGCGGTCTGATGAACACAGACTATAGTACAGGAGTACTGTTACTTTTCTCCTGAACAATAGGCTTCTATTAATAATTCAGCCTAGATTGTATTCGTTATTTGTTTGTTTTCTAGTCATGGCATGCTGTTAGCTCATACTGAACATCTAGGGGGAACTCACTTCCCACTAGGGGAGGATCAAGGAAGGCTTGGTGGAAGAGGCAGCTTGTGAACTGGGTCTTATAGGATGGGTAACACATCAACAGGAATTCCTGTGGACATCAAACCCTTCCTTGGCTTTCCTTGTCAGGGTTAGAATCTCCCTGAAGTGGCAGTCAACCCGGCAGGGAATTTGCAGATGACAGCTAATGCTTCACAGACAGAATTAGGATTTTAAATTATCTTAATGGTCTGAAAACAATGAGGTAAAATTTAATGGTGATAAAAGTGAAGTCAGGTGTTTAGGTTCAAATAATCAAATATAGAATGAGGCGATATGACTTCATAGCAGTTAAAGTGAAAAAGATCTAGAAATATATATATATATACATATATATACACATATATACTTATATCTCTATATACATATATCTATATCTATCTATCTATCTATATCTATCTATCTATCTATCTATGTATATATATATCTCCAGAAACAGCTGTTCTTTTACGACCAATGTTGGCAATTGCAAGATATTTGCCCCTAAGTTCAATACCTCTAGGATAAAACATAAACCCTTCTGTTTAGCTTTTAAAGTCTTTCATTACTTAGCCTCAACCATCTTTCCCAACTCAGTGGACATTACTCCATATCCAGAACTCTGTAATCCAACCAAACTGGCCTTCTCCTGTTTTTTTCATACACTGTACTCTGTCTCTCATCTCAACAATGCCTTTGCACAATCCCCCATGCCTGCAATGCACTACCTCTTCACTTCTACCACCCGGAATCCCTGTCTTCCTTTATAATGTAGATTTCAGGGTCTGGGAGAGCCTGAGAGGCTTCCCATGGATAACAAACGTCCTTCGGGAAGCACTTAGAGCTTGGTCAGACATGGAAGACACCACATTCGCCCACTGCATCCTGGGCCATCACCGGTAGTCTTGACTTTTGTCCTGCTACTGGACTTTGATGACTCAGGAGGAGAGAGTGAGCCTGATGACTTTGTGCCCTCTGCCTCACTTACGTCCAATTCACTCAGAAATCAAGACCTCACCCCACACGAAGGATGAACAACAACAAAATGTTGTTGCCTTAAAGGCAGGACTCTTCCTTTTGGTCTGTGTATTATCAACATCAAAGACAGTGTTTTATATATAGTAGATGATACATGTCATTGAATGAATCACATTGAAAACACAGGGACCCTTTTCCACTTTCTCCCCCTCAAACATGGCCCTAAGAATGGAATAGCTGGGACCCTGAAATTTTAGGTAACTAATTGAGCTACCTCTGATAAGACAAACCACTCACTTGGCACTCTGGGTCTTTTCTGGAGAAATTAGGGGCACCCCCAAGAAACAACAGTAATATTTTAAAGAAAAAATTAGAATCTCTCAATCAAATGGGCCTCAGAAGTTATCTAGTCCTACCTATGCCTGAAGTAACATGCCAGTCTTGAATTTATATGACATGTTAAACTTTTCTAAGCACTCTCCCCTCTATGGTATCATTTTATCTTCCCCCATAGCCCTGTAAGGGCATGGAAGATATTATTTCTATTTTACAGATGAGGAAACAGGCTGAGATGAATGATGTGATTTGCTCAGTGCTTTACAGGGGAAGCTGAGACTAGAACCCAGGTTTCTGGATTCCTGGTCCCCAAAGTCCTTTTTCTTTAGATAACTGGTCCTCTTTCCCCTATGATGATAAGACAATAACAATAACATAGATGTATATGTGGAGAGCGAGGGAGAGAGCAAGGGACAGGGAGAATGAGGAGAAGGAGAAGGAGAAGGAGGCGAAGGAGGGGGGAGAGAAAAAGAGAGAGAGAGAGAGAAAGATAGAGAGAGGGAGAGAGAGGAGAGAGAGGGAGAGAAGAAAGGGAAGGAGAGAGAGAGAGGGAGAGAGAGGGAGAGAGAGAGAGGGAGAGAGAGGGAAAGAGAGAGAGAAAAAATATTATATGCCAGGCACTGTGGTAAGTACTTTGCCATTATTATCTCATTTGATCCTCACAACAACCCTGGAAAGTAGGTGCTATCATTACCCTCATTTTACAGATGAGAAAATTGAGGCAGATTTTAAGTGACTTGCCCAGGGTCACACAGCTAGGAAGTGTCTGATTGAACGTGAACTCAGGTCTTCCTGACTCCAGACCCAGCGCTCCACCCACTGGACCACCTTGCTGCTCCTAGCTATACCATAACGCCTTTGCACCTGACAGTTGCATCTCTTCCCCTGAGGCCACTCATCAATGGGATCACATGTTGGGACTGGAGGCTCAAAGCCATGAATCACCGGCCACATGTCTTCCTGACTCTCTGTACCCTTAAGCTGACTCACAAAACCTCCTCGGCCCTTTGGTTTCTCCAGCTGCTGAAAGGGAAAGAACTGTTTACTCCGGGCCAAGTGGGGGTGGGAGTGGGGCCCAAGTAGGGAAGGAATGCTGAGGTTCCATTAGGAATTCTTCCCAGAAGGGGGCAGTGGGAAGACCAAGGGTGAAACTTGGGGTTGAGTGGGAGCAAGTGTCAGCCTTGTCTTTATAGAATAAACTCTGTGAGGGAAATCCTGGGTGGGGGCAAGGGTGGGGGAAGCAGGGGCAAGAAGGGGGCAGGGCAACAGCTGGGAGACGAAAAGGCGAGGATGCAAAAATGAAACTGATTCTCAACCACTCAGCAGCGCTGTTCAGCCCAGATTCCAATATCTCCATAGCGCAGGTCCCCAGACCACGAGTTATTTGTCCTGGAAAGGATTCATGGATTCCCACAAAGCCATTGTCTTGCTTCCATTGTAAACAAACTGCTGGGCTAAAACCGGGCCATGTCATGAATATCAGTGAGAAATAAATAAAGGAAAGGAACTAGATTATCAACTAATCCATCCCATATGCTGAGGTGTGGGCAGAGGACGGCAGCTAAGAAGGAGACCTAGCCCTCCTCCGACTTTCTGATGTAAAATTTGGAGTACTCGTGCTCCGTCTCACACATGATAAGACGAGTCCAAGTGTGTGGAAACCGGCCTCTCGGAGGCCTGGTGCGTCCCCTGACACAAGCCAGCTGGAGCGGGGGGGGGGGGGGGGGGGGGGGGAAAGGGGGGGGCATGATCAGGAGACACAATCAAGCAACATCAGCTGTGAGGGGCCTGAGGCATCGGCTCCAGGCTTTTATCAGCAAGAGGTCTAGATTTTCCATGAGAGCACCGGCATTCTGCCCTCCTCTCATCCGTCCCATCCGCTAGAGGTGGGGTGGGGGACATGCACCTAAGAATGCTCTGGGCCCCTCCTCCTAAATAAGCTCTTTTGTCATTTGAGAATTTACTCCATTTCATCAAATATCATCATCTTCTGGTTATCTAGGGGGAGGGTAAAACATCGAGGTGGAGGGGGGGTGTTCTCTGCTTGGTGAATTACCTTCAGCTAATTTTTTTTTTAATTGAAGACAGCTCTTCCCTGCCCAGCCAGGGGGATTGTAGATGGGGTCAAGCGAAACATGGAAGGTTAATTTACTTACCACCAAAAACTCGTGATGGGTTTTGGAGCGTCCCTCTCCTA